TTTACTTGCTTTTTTCAGGTAGGTCTGTTTGTGGAGCCGTCCCTGCAGATGCAGCAGGAAGGTGATGTTCCAGCCCTGACCGTGCTGGTTCTTTTATTAATGCGGATAAGCTCCAGAAATGCAACATAATGAAATGGATTTTAGGAGCTGTCAGGTCACAAATTCTGCGTTATGAGAGAATTTGTTGCTCAGAGGGATATGGATGTACTGTGATGTTGACGTTAGCTGTGTCGGTAAATAGATTACTTGTAACTGATTCATCTGAAAGTCAAGCTTGTACCAGGAGGCAGCAACTTTTGTAAATTATGTGGTCCTTTCTGCCTTTTTTTTCCAGAGTGACAGTTGTAGTGTACTATCAAGACTGCTGCTACATACGCTTGGATCTATATTTGACTATAAAACTTCTCCCTTGAAATAACTTTCACATGAAAAGTTTAGAGGCTGCGTAATTCAAGCTTCAGCCTTACATGCAAAGCCTCGTTAAGCTTTAGATTTTGCTCGGTAAGCGTGGAGAAGCTATGCATGGAGGACGACCTGCTAGTTTGATAAAGTATCTGTTGTAACGGTGAAATTTTTGTGACAAGTTCTTGGTTTTTCAAAGTCTGGTGAGCAAGGGAAGCTCGGGTTAGTATCTTTTGATGTAGTGCCACTGGGGGGATTCACGGCGTATATTTAGTGGTGGTGTATTCGCACATTAACAAGGCAGAAGGAAAAGTTGGGGGGGGGGTGTCCCCCCCTTGGAAAGGAGCAGATCCCCATGCTTTGCCTTTCACTGTTGAGGCACCGCTGAGGGCAGCTACGGCACCGTTGCTCTCGAGGAGCTGCAAGTGACAGGATGGGGCATGGTGAGCCACTCTTCTGGGGACTTTTTTGTGTCTATCGTAGTTTTTCTGAGCTATTCAGGGCTTTGACACATTGTAAAAAACCTAGGAAAGTTAAGAAGAAATAAGCGGCTGCCGGTCCTTCTCAAACGGGTGTTCTTTAGGTCTGACATAAAATACCCCAAAAAAGAATTTACTCGTGTGGTGTTGTTGTTTAATTACTTTGCAAATAAGGTAAAGACTTCCTCAGCATTCAGGTTTTGTTTATCAGGCTAGATAGACTATATCTAATATCATTCTCACTGTTAGTCAGCAGCGACAAGACGTGTAATCACTGCCTTTTTCCCCATAGTTCTCCCCAGCACCGGGAGAATTTTGAGTATAACCGAGGTCACTGATCTCTCCAGTGCTGTTGCCCTTTCAGTCTTTGATTGAAAGTTCGGATGGACTTCGGAATAAGAAGTCAAGAGGTTGTCCTTGGGACGTGGGCTAAGGATCTGCGAGGGTTTGTATGAAGAGCCGGGCACCTGGAGAGCGTGCTCTGGTTTTGGTTTTATGGCTGACCTGGGGTGTGACCGGGGGTCAGGCCCACTGCTGTCTTAAGGCTTTTCCCCATTACCTGGAGATAGTTAATTTTGTCTTATTTTGTTTTTCTGGATGAATTTCTGTGCCAAAGGCTGGTTATCAATAGCGAGCAGATGTTGAGAACGGTGGTGGATTCAGTTGGACGTACAGAACTGGTGTTGGCCAGAAGCTCGGGGAGGAATTACGATCAAGACATGATTTTACATTCTCTAAAAGCGATTCTTCCTACAAGCAGGCAGAGCAAGAAATACGGGAGGGGAGGAAATTGGGACCGCATTTAATAAAGGCAAAGCCTAACACGTGGAGACCCACCAGGAGCTATGCCAAACACAGACGGCGTCTGTTTGCACAGTGCGCTTTTCCCCGATGTCCCTTGCCCTCCTTGCTGTTCTAAAAGACTCACCGCGTTTTTTCTGAAAGCATCTAGCAAACTGTACGCTATATAAAACCCTGATACGCTTGCAGATCCAGTAACAGCGTGCATGCTTCCGTGCCGTAGAGTGAAGGGCTTTGGTGCCTGTCACTGTGAGCTTGTCACCGGCACAGCCAATGCCATACCGGTGAGGCACGTACTGCGGGGTGCGGGGGTGCGCCCCGTGTTGCTGCTGCTTCAGTCTTGTGCTGCGCTCTCGGTGCCCTCATTGCGTGTTATTCTGGTACTGTCATTTCAAGCCCTCGGCATCCCTGCACCCTTTCGTGTCTGGCCGGCCATCTCGCCCTGCGGTGCGCGAAGGGTGCTGGAGGCTGACGGATCCCATCCCTGCCTTGTGCTCTGCTGGCATGGAAGTATGGCATCCCTGCTTCCCCGGTGGGAGGAGGATCCTCGGCTTGGCTCCGTTTCCGTCGGACAAGGGCGGCGAGCTTGGGCCGTG